ATATATATATATATATATATATATATATATATTTATCCCTACTTAAACCAAAAGATTTGAAATCATTTCTTATTGTTTCTAGAAGGGTATTCTTAAGTCACCCTCTATCTTTTTTTGGACGATTAGTTTGAATTAGCTTATCCAGTCTAACCATGACATCGATAAGTTTCCATTCAACATTTATCATCATGAATGATTTTTCTGATTTTATCATTTTGTTATCCCCATCTCAGTATTTTCATCAACTACATTAACTTTGAAACATGTTGACATATACTCTATACATGTGTGTATATATTTGTATGCATCTATGCATACATATACATATGTATGTGGTATTAAGTAAATGGAAAATTAGTAATCATTTAACACTGGTTTGGCCTAGGCGTTGGTCTTAGTCAAGTGCCCAGGAACCTTAATCAAGCAGCTGCTTTGTGCTTGATTTAGTCAACGTCTCAATGTCTAGGGATCTAGGGAAGGAGCACTGGCTTTGTGCTAAGGAACTCTCAAGGATGCTGCTTGGGAGCTGGTGGCAAATATGTTCAGGGTGGAAGTTGCTGGCTAAATGAGACGCTGGCTGTTTGGGAGGGGATAAATGCTGCTTTGGAAGAAGGAATTCCAAAGCTGCATATTGAGATGGATGCCTGAATGTTTAGCTCGAATCTTAACCAAGCAAATCATCCTTCATGGTTTTTGACCAACTTGGTTAGTAATATTTTGTTGGCCATGGAATCCTTCGAGGAAATTATGGTAACTCATGTACCTAGAGAAGCTACCCAATGTGTCCATTGGTTAGCCTCAAAGGCCAATAATTGTAAAACTGATTTCTTCTGGAAATTAAGTTTTCCCTGAGTTCCTTGATGTGCTACGCTCTGATGAACTGGGCTCTGAAGTAATATAATTTGTTTTATCTTTTGGAAAAAAGGATAAGTGCTCAGGAACCACTTTTGACAAAAATCTTGATTGTTTTCATACTGACATGATTTTTCTATTCTTTATTACTGTACATTTGTCAAGTTGCACTTACTGAGGTAGTTGCTTCTCACCTTAAAAGTGTTGTCCTCTTGATGGTTTGTGTTTGTATTGTTTTTGAAATGGTTTATACTGGAAATGTGGGAGTTGAAGGGGTAATGCAGTTACTCTTTTCCTTAAGAACAAATTTGTGGTAGTATGTCTCCTATGTGAATTCAACAATATTTTTTGTATGTATGTTTTATATGCTACAGCTCCAGATTTTAATTTGGGAAAAAAAAATGTTTTCGGAGTAAAATGTTTCTTAAAATTTCTATTTATATCTTTGTAGGGCTGGCAACGCAAGCTAGATCCTGACTTTGACATCATGAATACACTAAAAACGTTGTTGCTCAAAGAAGACTGGGCACAACCCATTGATTATTATTTTTCCTAAATAATTTTGTGTTTTGACATAAAATTCATGAAAGGAATTTATTGGGGTACATTATGCGGCAATCAACAGATTGTTCGAGTTCTTCTTGGGTATGTATTCTGTCCCTTCTGTCTCCCCGTACTTTGTAGTCATTATCTACAGTAATTATATTATTATTATTATTATTATTTTGGTTATGGACTATCTGTATTTGCAAGAGCAAACTGCTGAAGTACTAGGAAAATAGACATGTCAGCTGGTTAAATTTTTTTTTATACCATTCTTTAAATGTTCAGTTCACTGATTTCAGTACAATTATCTTTCTTCTATCATTTGTGATCAAAATGATGGCTGCCATATGTTATGTTGAATTATAGATGGAAAAAGTTTGTGTTTTGGGGTACTCAGTAGTCAGTAGTATCTTGAATTCACCTCATTTTAGTCAGTTTCTGATTGACATAACCTTCTCAAACATATATACGTAGTAACGTGTGCTAACTTGAAGAAGAAAACCCATTCATGGCTAATGTAGTTGTTAATCATTTGGTGAGCCTTTTAGAGCAGCACAACTGTCAGGACTTGGAAGATTGTTAATCTCAAGTCTCTAAGATGGTTAATTAATTAATTGAGCTGGTATAGGTCTATAATGTTGTTTTAGATAAGTAATCCAAGCATGTAAGTCAAAATTTGTGTTATAGCAACGAAAACTAGCCCACTTTGAGTTTGTGTCAATGTTTTTTTTTAATTTCTAATAACAGTTGTAACCGGATATTGGTCGTCATGGTAATTGGGTAGCATGGATTCAGGCGTGGAAAAGAACTGATGTTCAGAAGTTTTAGGATGTACAATAACACTATGCAATTTTACACTAACTTTGTGGATGAAAATTCATTTAATTGATCTGTTTCACATGATAAAGAAGCATAGGGTGAATAACGGGGTTCTTATCCTTGTAAGAAAATTAGGGTTTTGATAGACTGGAGTTGATGATGATGGAAATGAGAAAATCTGTATAGGTTCACTTAAAGGTGGAATCTACTAGTTGGAAACTCACATGTACATCTATCAGGTATCTTTCTTACCACAGTTTGGTAAACTGTCCATATATTTGAACTTTGCATGAAAAGCACAACTTTATGATTGGCTTTTGCTTTAGGTAAAATCTTTATGAATTTACAATCCCATTGGCATATGCTTTGGGAATGGTGGTCTTTGGAAGACTTCTGCACAAGTGAATAGGATTTGGTCCCTAATGTGCAATATATGTTGTTTGGTATTGATTTGGTTCCTTTCTTGTTAAATATATGTCGCTACGTATGTTAATTTAAGTAAAAATTTCACAAAGCCTGTCAGCATCTAGTAAAGTTCTGTTAATATATGTATGACTCAAGTGTGCGTTTTGGCTTAAAATATACTTGATGGCGATTGTTTTATACCACGGGTCCATTTGACTCGAGCGATCACATATCCTATTGCACTAGTGTCCTGTGAGAATGAGGATAGAAATGTCTTTGAAGATCTGACCTGTTAATGCTAATTGTAAAGAATAATTGGCTACATGCTTTCAAGGAAAGCATCTCAGTAGCACCAAACTTGAACAATGCCTAGTGGTCATGGTTGATATCATTCTAGAAGACTGTCAGGTTGTGCATTTTGGATACTAGGTTGTGTAATATGTCGTTTCATGGAACACCTTGCATTTGTTTCTATTGTGTAGAGCAATTACTTTGTTATAACCCATTATGTTCTCCATGCTCATCTGTCTGGTGCTCATGGGTTTATTATGTGGATCTTTTGCCAGTAATGCCCAGATTTAGTGACATGAGAGCAACTGCTGTGAAGCACCTTATAGCTTAGGTCTCCGTGGACCCAGTTTTACTTATCCACAATTTTGAAGCTGTGAGGCACCTTATAATTTAGGCCTCTGTGTACCCTTTTCGCCTTATCTGCAATTCTGAAGCTGTTCAAGGACCAACAACATTTTCCAAGCATGTCAATAGATTTTAAGAATGTAATGCGTGTAATTTGGAAACCTGTTTTATTTAATGGATACTTTACCTCTGTTGGTGGTGCCATTCTATTTCCAGCAATTGAACTGCCCTACTGTAAGCCTTTATTATTTAAGTAGATCGGTGATCAGTATTCACACATTTCCATGATTGCTTAGATAACTATCATTACTTGGTTAAATGTTTTGTGCTTATTATAAATTTTAAATTATCTATGATAGAACAGAAGAGACATTTGTGTGGGTTAAAATTTGGCAAGAAAATGCTAGCAAGATAATGTGTCACTTCAAATATGCATTTTCATTCCGAAGACTAATGCAGGAAGTACAATATATCAACAGCTCAAAATGCATGTTTTAATCAGAAAAATCTGATTATCTTGTTGTCATTGATTTTGCTTGACTGGTTCATTGTCTTATGCATGTTGGAATATTAATTTTGTTTCTCACAGTAACTCCTAGGAGAATGGTCTCTTGGTTAAATTAGCTTAAGTTTATGAAGTTCTTTTAATTTAATATTCTGAGTTTTTAGATAGGTCCATCTCTTGTCTAAACTTGTTGTCAATATCTGTCACCAGTGATGGAGACTTTTAGTAGTGATGGTAATGGGTTGATTGGATGTCACCTACACCTGAACCCAAATCTGATCTGAGCATTGGGTAAGGTGTAGGTCCAGGACATTGCCCATTCATGTTTTCCATCATGGATCCAGAATTAGACTGGATACAGGAGACCAAGTCCATGTTGAGCATGGATCCAAAAATAAGCCCACAACATCTAGTACAATTAATAACAAATGAACCAACTTATGAGTGGATGATGTCTAATATTTTTATTCAAACAAATTAAAGAAATTATTGTAGGAAAACAAAAAATTAAAGAAATAAGAAAAAAAATGCTGCAAGAGACAATAGTAATAACATTTAGAAGAGATGAATGTACCTCAGAAGTCCATCAAAGACAGTGAAGTCAATTATACTGTTATCCTACAGAACATTAAAATATGTAGATATATTTGCCACATCCTACATAATCCATCAGACTAGTGGGTAGAATAGATTAGATTTAGGTTTAGTTCGGGTCTGTTTCCAGGTCAAGGTCTCATATCATATCTGGACTCACGATCCAAATTTTCCAGTGGATCCAATGTTAGCATCAACTGCAGGTCAGATTTCTGTAACTGGGTTCAGTAGCATCTCGGATTGGGACTGCAATTTGAACAACCTTAAACTACTTTTTGATGCATAGTTCTACCTTGCTATTTGAGTTTAAACATCACACCAGTTCATCAGAATATTTGTCCATATTAGTTTGTCAACTTGTGTAAAGATACCTTTTTTTGTTGGTCTAGAGGGAATTGCATCTGGGAAACTCAATTCCATACCTTATTTGCTTGCCTTTTTGAGTTTTTCTTTCTTTCTTCTCCAAGCTTTAATGTTATTAAAAAACCCCAGTAGAGTTATGACAGGCACATAGAGTATATTGTTCAAATGACGCCTTAGTATCTTTGCAGGGTATTCGGATATAGAACATGATGAACCGTCAAGTTTCTCTAGCCTGCTCCTCCCTATCTTCTAGGTTTTCAGTAGATTGACGTTGGTTGTTGGAGTGGATTAATTTATGAAGGATCATAAATACATGGTTTTAGTTTTAGTTTTAGTTTCTTAATAAGAGTAGTGCCAATTACGTTGATTTCTTATTGCGTTGTCATGCCGCTGATTAATTTGGATGGAGATCTTTTTATCATGACATCTTAGTTTGGCATCCATCTCAGTCCTTCTCAGTGCTATCTTATTCAGATATGCAGCTGATAAGGTTGTGAGTAGGGCAACGTGGGTTTCGACCTTTGCTGCTAATGATTGACTCACTATGTCTATGGTTTTCCATTGTCATCACCATATACTTTTTACTTGTTAATTTGTTTTTATCTAGTACGAGGAGGAACTCACCATCTCTTAAACAGCAGAGGATACTGCATACTAGATCTTGATCTACCACAATGCGTTCAGAGCTTGGGATGCAAAAGCGAGGTAAAAGTTTTACTTGGTATTTGATTCTGTGCATGATTGCTGTGGAGCTGTTTACTGGGACGCACATCTAATGGGTGCTTCGGACCCAACACTCTGAGGTGGTGCACCAAAACGACTGGACAAAATGATTGAGTGGATGAATGCATTGAAAAGTCGCGTCCTCCCAGCGAGTTGGTCGTGTGTAGCTTGAGGTCTTCCTGGCCTTATCAAGAGCGTCGGATGTACCTTTGTCCTCTGGAACCAGACACCACCCTGTAAGGATACACCTTGAGATGGGACCCTTTTCGACCATTTTCCATTTTCCATTCCCACTTCCACCCACCCTAAGGCTGCTGCAGCAACCAAAAACCCTTGTGGAGAAAAGAAAAAGTTTTGGATTCAACCCAGACTCTGGAGCTGAGACCACAGCACAAGTAGTGTATGGCTTCTGAGGTCTGTTCCCTTTAGTCCCACTACCCCCCCCATGATTGGAACTTTTGCACTGTATCTTGTCGTGATTCTTTCATTTTTTTCTGCTTTGTCGATCCTGTTTGGTTTTCTAAGAGGTTTACCCACCCCACCCAAGGCAACCTTTTCGACTTTCTGGTCACTCCTAAAAAGCTCGAGGCTGGGAAATGCAACCTCACTCGTAAAATAATTCAATGTCATTGGGATTTGGTTGAGATGGATGATGGCCTTTTCGAACTCTAGATTAGAGTTTTCCGTTGGCTGCTAGTACGCTTTGGTTTGGGTGTGAGACAGGATTAGGAATAAGATTCTAGTGGCTTGTCCCTCTGCCCGCACTGCCTGCCCCATGCGTTGGTTTCCCAAGCTATACTTGCTTTCTATTTGTCCTACACCAGTGAATTGTTTTGGAGGAGTCACTGCCAAATTGACACCGGTCTCTTGTCCGTAGGGCTGGGAATAGGGCAGGAGCTGGTTAAAACAAACGAATATGAAAAGTGTAGGTACAAATGGTGGGGGCTACGAGGTGAGAGAACTTGTCTGGGTAATCTACAATAATGCTGAGGGCTGCACCATCTTCCATGTGAGGCGTCAAATCGCCATGGTGGAGTTTTTACCATAGTCAAGTCTAGCCTCACTTTATCATGGTAAGCTTCATCAAATTTTTTTGTATTCCGTGTCCTGTTCATCGATCAGTAGAATCGTTTGCTACAACATAATAACGACAAAGAGAGTGGCATCTTTTTGTTTCTGCTCCTCCTCCCTCCCTCCCTCCCTTCCAGTATAATATTAGCTTCCGAAACCCAAGCCATTCTCGTGAACCAACTTAATCTGAAGCCTTTCTCCGCATGTGACCTTGTAGGATGTCCTCAGTTCTCCTCCATCCGCGACTCGAAATGTCCTCCTAGTCACCCTTCACTCTGCATCCAAACTCCAGACCTTTTCCTCCCTCCAATCTAGGCTAAAAGGAGGACAGGAATCAGAGTCCTAACACTGTACCTCTATAGTCTCCCTTCCCTTCCTTTTACACTTACTTGTGGACTCAGATTTTTATGCTAAGTAACCTGATGTGCAGAGCCACACAGTCGTGGCTTGGAAAAACAAAGATGGTTCAGAAAATTAAATTGGTTTCTTAGTCTTTATTTATTATTTATGTAGTGCCTATCAGATAAGTTTTCCTTGGAAAAACAAGACAGCGATCATAAAGGTGGGTTTTTGGGAACTCTTTTGGAGAATGAAAAGCAATACATATACACACACACAAGTAAATCAAGTACAGGTTTCTGAAACTTGTGGTCTGTTGGCACAGGGGACCACTGAAGCTTCAAATTTCTAGGGGAGAGTCTCGCTCGAGGCCAGTGCAGCCAATTAGCATCCTGGAGAAGAGTAATCGTCTTAATCTGAGCCCGGATTTGCCTTGTTCCTCCTTTGAGCTCATCGCTTTGGAACGGAACGCTCCGTGACAGCGTTTGCTAAGCTTCATGAGCTGCGCTCTGCCATATAACTCTCACACACAATGAGAGAAGAAAAAAATAACAAAAATAGCAATAAAGAAGAGTGATCACAGTATAAACCAAACACAAGAGACACGACATACCTTCCTACCCTCACTCTCACCTATGCCTATGCTTTTTGGTTATGTGTTTCTAAGCCTCTCTTTCTCTCTCTCTCTCTCTCACGCACAAACCTATTATATCCTTTCTGAAGGGAAGGAAGGAGGCGCTTTCTGCTTATAACCTCCACATGCGTACCCGTATCTTCTCCGGCTCCTACAGGAAGAAAGAAAAGCGCAGATCCCAAGACCCAAAGGAGCACACCGTCCCTCTCCTGTTGCGTTCCATAGCTGTTCCTTTCTCAGCACCGGTCACCCCCTGCTTGTTAATCGTTCGCCATAGGAGTATTTCCTCTACCTCCGTTGTTCCACAAAGGAAGCAGAAGAACAATGAGAGCGTCTGCTGTCTCGATGCAGCTCGCTCTCTTCCTCGTCTCCGTCGCCTCCCTGGCGGCTTCCCTTGCCGACGGAGTCACCCCGCAGATCTACTCCGACGAGCAACAACCTCTCACCGCCAGTGAGTTCGACTCGACTACTGTCCCGGCCTTCCCGTTGGCTCGGACGGACAACCACAGCGCGTGCCGACTTGACCTCTCTGACGAGCTCTTTGGGGGAGTCGGGGACGCCTGTGTCCGCGGCGGCCTCGACCGGAGCCGCTGCTGCCCCGTGCTCGCCGCCTGGCTCTTCGCGGCGCATGCCCGTTCCGCCCTGGAGATCCGCCCGCCGCCTGCGGCGGAGGACGGGCTGGGTGGCGCGGACGGGCCGATGATGCCGGACGACAACCAGAAGTGCGTGGACTCGCTGCAGAGCGCGCTGGAGCGGCGTGACATCCGCCTGCCGCGGCCCAATGCCACCTGCGACACCGTGCTTTGCTACTGCGGCATCCGCCTCCACCAGATCGGGTCGCTCCGCTGTCCAACCGCCTTCAACGTCAGCGGCGGCGCCAACGCCGCCCGTAACGTCACTCCGACGGCATCTGTTCGGCAGCTCGAGCGCGACTGCCGGAATGCTTCCTACGCTGGCTGCAATCGCTGCCTCCACTCGCTGGAGAAGGTACGCTTTCCTCTCTGACTCTGTTCTGTGTGTATATGTATTCATTTTGGCCTTGATCGAACCATGCGTGTGACCCCTCCCATCGAAACGCTGGAGGACAAAGTCTCTGAAGCATGGTATGAGACCATCATGCCTCTGATTGCAGCATTCAACTCGAGCTTATCGTCTTCTCTTAATCTGATTAGTTCCCTGTAACGGAGGACTCCTTGACGATTCTTCCCCCCCTTCAAGTTGACTCTTAAAATGTACTTCATCCTTCGTTGCTTCTGCTTTCAGTTTATGCCCTGCTGAACAAAGGAAGCAGCGTGGTAGCGACAGCATATGTATATACATAAATCTACCGCCCGTAGCGCAATAAATGTTCATGCGACATTATTCGACTCGTCGCACTCATTCACTTGACATTCCTTATTGTAAATCTACTTGTCAGAGTGGTAGTAGTAAACATCAGCAGCCGAGTCTATCCGACGCATGAATCCATGAAGGAGCTAAGAATCTGTAATGCAATGAATGGTCTGATGTGCTGTCACTGAATAATGCAGCTGAAGGAGACTGGTGGCGGTGTTGGGGGCGACAACGGGGATCGCGCGACGAAGATGCTGGGGCGGGACTGCCAGCTGATGGGTCTGACGTGGCTGCTGGCGAGGAACAAGACGGCGTACATCCCCACCGTGTCAGCCGTCCTGCGTGCCGTGCTCTACAGCGCCCACCCACCGCAGGCCGATGGCAGTGGAGGAGGGTCCGGCTACAAGTGCAGCCCGGACCAGGAGAACATGCCCCTCGCCGTCGACTCCCTCCAATTCCCGCACCAACCTGACTCCGCCGCCGCCGCCGCCACCACTTATCGTTCCGCCTCCCCTTCCGCCCTCGTGCTTTCTTCCATCCTGCTGCCCATCCTGCTGCTCTCTCGTCTTCCCCTGCTGTAGGTCGTCGCCGTTGGAATACAAGAGCGTATCATTGGCGTGCCCTGTTTTTTTGCGTTTGTCCGCTGTATAGCTTATATCGCTACTTTTCCTTTCATTTCGTATGATTTTTTTTAGCGAATTTTGCTGATTATGTATTCTCGCTAATCCGACTCTTTTCCCCCCTGTTTTTGCCACCATCGACGCAGAACTATTTTCCAGAGGACGGCGGTCAGTGCAGTCAACAATCATACATAAACTGTAATGTGTGGTGCCGAGCAAACCAAAATTGGCGATTAGGTGAGGTTGATGATAGAATATGACGTTGTCAGAGAGCATTCATGGTGGTGGAATCGGCTGCCTAAATCATGCGTGAATTGACACGAACCAGATACTGGTGCTGCTACGTTGATCTCTCCGCAACTTAGCAGAAATCGAACCGCGGAGTGTTGTCATGGACGTGTTTTGGGGCCATGAGGACGCCGGCTTCGTCAGCCACCGCGGGCAACGTCTCAGCCGTCTCCCGTAGCATCCGCGCGACACGAAGCGTTCATTCTCGTCTTTTCTTAACGGCTGCTCCCTTTCCATTGGCAATTACCGCTTAAACTCGAGGTTTTCATTTCATTTTACCAAATATTGGGGCTTATTTTATAAACATTTATTTTTCAAATTTGAAATATGATATTAATATGCCAAAAGACATACTAAATTGATCCGAAATTTAATTACATAAATGGTTGGTTGGAGGATGGTCAGAAAAAAAAGTTGAGAATTTGTAGAGATTTATTAAGTTATGTTGTTTTAAGCATGTGAAATTATGTTTTTTTTAATTATTTAATCATTTTGAAAATTAATGTTAAAAAAATTATATCGTATTGAATTTGATGTTCCATTTTTTTTACATTGTTTCTCACCATTTGGTATATATTTTAAAAATAAATTTTAAATTAGTGAAAACCTATAACTAACCCAATTATATTTGTTTTTGAAAAGCATTGTTATTTGAACTTTTTGAGTGTTTCTATGCATTGAAAAATCTATCTAAAACAATATGAACTGCATTTAACGTTTCTATATTTTCCAAATTCATCTTGGAACTTTATTATCCTCCAAAATTTTATTCTTTATTATTTTCTTTATCTTGATCATCTTCATCTTTTTGAAAATTATTCTGATCTTTAATTTCTGAACTGCTGCTTC